TGACTTATGGGTGACAGGTGTGGAAAAAAATGAGACACTCTTTGACAACCTGCATGTGTGCCCCAGGTGAAAGGTGGTGAGGAAGAGGCAATGACCAGAAGGTCCTAGGATTCAAGGGAGAGCACCCTGACGTGGGGGATCTTGAGGCTGACTCAAATGTGTTTAAGTGTAGCTGATGGCCTATATTCTTCCGTGATTCCACCTCCCCATCCCCCAGCACTCACTCACTTCTTTTACTTTTTGGTGCCTGGATATGTATGATAAAGGAAGAAGCTATCAGACAGCAAAGGAGCTGTTCTGACACTTGAAGACAGGCATGGCATGACCAGCAAAGGTGTCAGAAGTTGCTGTCACAAACAAATCACAAGTCTTCTCACTGCCTTGCAGACTTTCTCTGGGATTCCCCTCTTAACTTTAGAACCTAATATCCAGGCCTACAACTCATCTTCTGATCTGCTTGCTCATGTGATGTGTATTTTATAATCTCATCCAATGCCATGTCTTCCAGGTTGATCCCTCACTCGTTTCTGATGTGCTTCCTCATAAGTCAGTAGTTTCGTTGCATCCCCAGGGCAGCTGCTCCCTTCAGTCTGTACCCTTCAGTGTCTGATCCCCCACTCGCCAAGGATCAGGTGTGCTCACCTGGGGAACTGGCCAATGGTTAGAGTCAGACTGGGCCTGGTATTTTACTCCAAGTGTCCAGGAGTAGAAAGATCCAGACTGTCAGGACCAGCTCAGTTTTTAGAGAGGGCCAAATATCAAAATCAATGTCATCAAGTCCAAGGGTCATGCACAGACATAAAAACAGGAGGCAGAGCCAAAGGGTCCGTGGACAGTGAAATGGGAGGCATTTGGGTCCTGCTAGATCGTAGGCTCTGTGCGACTGGGGCCCTGCCTATCTTGTTCATCACTGTATCCCAGCACCTCAAACATTCCTGGCACATGGTAGGCACTCGATGTTTATTTGTTGAATAAATGAATGTTTTGGATGATTGCCACAATCGAGGCTGGCATTTCTGAGGCCTGCTCTTTCAGGCTACATAACCTGTAGCCAATTCCTAGCCAGTGAGTTAGAAGGCACAGGGCGTTCCTGCTCCTCAGGGCAGTGGAAGCCCCTGAATTATGCCAGTATTGCCCCACCCTAGATTCGTCAGTTGTCTCTGATTGTTCCACGTGGGCTTGTCTCATCTTGTCACTTAGCTTGTCAGCCTCATGTCTTTTCCTAGGACAGTCTGCAAATGCAGCTGGGACTCAGCAAACAGCAATTAGTTCAGGTTGAATTGAGTTGGGCTTCCCTGGGTAACTCCTGCAGTTTGTTATGAGTCTACTCATATGAGTATGAGTCTACTCCTCTACTCAAAGAGTACTGTTTTCATTATCTTCTACATTTGTTTAAAAAATATCCTTTCGCTGAGGAAAAAAAGAATGTGAATTGGATGTTTGCAGCAAGATATGTAGGTTAATAATTATGACTGAATTACATAGTTCATTACATCTTAGAGTTTGGAAGGAAACCATAGACTTTTTCTAGAAGTTGGTTTTCATACATGTCCCATCTAGTTTTCTTTCTTAAAAGAACACAAGGGTGAATCTTACCAGATTCTGAGGGAGCCAGTCATCATGTGATTTCACAATTACTCTCCAGAATGCCAAGACAAAATATGGATTTTTCAGTAGTAATCCAGTGATTATTCTAAGAAGATAAGTTCTTTTTTTAAGATATAATCAGCCATTGATTAGACATGTTTTTTGATCTCTAAAAATCAGACTGAAAATTGTTCCATATATAACCTACTGTTACTATCTTGACAGAGGTCCAGATTTTGTAAAGTGAGAAATAGCTACTCTTAGTATACCTGCACCTTGATCAAAAACTGGGTTTCTCAACCTTGGCACTGTTGACATTTTAGACTAGATAATTCTTTGTGGCGGAGGCCATCCTGTCCTGTTTTGTGTAATGTTGAGCAGCATCCTTGGCCTCTACATACTAGATGCTAGTGGCACACCCCTCCTCCCATGTAGGAACCAAAAATGTCCCCAGGCACTGCCAAATGTCCCTAAGAGGGAAGGGGGCAGATTCACCCTGGTGAGAATAGCCAATCTAAAACAGTCCTGAGGTCCAATGTGGTCAGAATTCATTGTAAGGGGATCTTTTGATTCTCCAGAAATGTCCCAACTATATCACCTTAGTGAGATAATAGATCAGGTAGCATTTTTTCTGCTTTTTAACAAATACATTTATTGGACTATGCTCTCTTTTCCTCTCTAATACTAGAGCTATATTAGATTGTAGGCTCCTTAAGGGTGACAACTGTCCTTTCCTTCTCCTTGAATTTCTTCACAGAAATAAGAGTGGCGTTTGGTCTGAGGGAAGCACTTAATGTAGATCAACTAACCCCACAGACAACTCTGCTAGTAGAAATACAGATCAATTGGCAGAGTGTATATGTCATGATGGTGTGATCTTTTTCTTTTTTCTTCACTGTTATATTCCCAGCACCTAGAAGAGCATCTGGTACATAATAAATACTCACTAAATATTTGGTAAATGAATTATGTCACTTCCTTTCTAAAAAACATGTTTAATGTGGTCCCTGCCCCATTTCCTAAGGGATAACATTTAGAATCCTTAGGCTAGAACTTAAGGCTCTCTTTACTCTGCATTTCCCAACTTTCGTCGCCGCTTCTCTGCTACCCAATCCCACCCCTCTGACCCAAGCTTAGCTACTAATATCTTCTCAAATTCCCATGAACATCTTTGTCAATGCACAACTGCTCACTTTGTCCTCTTTGTTTAGAATGTTTTTCAAGCTCTCACCTGAATCAAATAAAGACAACACACACTTCAAGGATCAGCTTATTTCATCTCTTTTAGGTCACATCTGACTCCACGAACCCACAGGGACCTTTCCTAACTCTTAAGCCTAAGACTTACTGGTCTGTCCTTCTCCCTGAGCATTTTAATTCTATAAGATACAGCACCTTTCACCCTATGATTTTGAATTATCATTTTCATGAGTGCATGTCATCTCTCTCCAAGTACACTGCAACCTTTTTGAAGGCAAGACAAATTACCATCTTTTTTCTTTAACAGCATAGAATCTATTAAATGACATCTACATAGTGAAGGAACATTATTCTCATTAAATCTTTTATTCATTCACTTATTCAACTAATATTTTTTTGCTTGTCTACTCTGTGCTGGACATGTGCTAGGAGGCAAAACAAATATGCTCTCTGTCCTCATGAAGTGTTTAGATCATTTGGAGAAAGCACGGTATCTAATGTGGTAAGGGCTAGATTTAGGGTCAGAAGACATTTGTGTGAGTACTAAGTTTGCCACTTAGTAGCTGTGTGATCATTTAAGCTCTCAGCATCTCAGTGTCCCCATTTAGAAAATGGGAATGATAACACTTGCTCTGTTTAGCTCTCATAATAATGAAGATTAAACCACGTTGAATTTTAGGTGCAAATATTTTCTAAGTGACAAGATATGGTAGTTTTAATTTGTTCACAAATTCTTTGATACTCTTCCCTTCAGGAAGTGGAGCCTAATTCTCCTCCTCTTGAGTATGAGCTGGGCTTAGTGACTCGCTTCTGACAGAGAGAATAAAGCAAAAGTAGTGGTGTGCAATTTTGGAGACAAGGTCATAAAAAGGTAATGTGGCTTTTGTCTTGAATTACTTGGTCTGGGGGAAGCAGCTGCAATATTGTGAGCAGCCCTACGGTGGGGCTAATGTGTGAGGAACTGAGGCCTCCTGCCAACACGCTGCAGGTTGGAAGCAGAACCCTCAGCCCCAGTCAAGCCTTCAGATGACTGAAGCCCCAGTCAACAGCTTGACTACAACCTCATGAAAGAACCTGAGCCACACCAGCCAGCTAAGCTGCTCCTGGATTTCTCACAGCTAGAAGCCATGTGAGACAATATATGTTCAATAAATTGCCAAGTTTTGGGGTAATTTGTTATGTAGTAGTAGACAACTAATAGAGTACTATAGAAATTGAAGATATTATTTTTGAATGTTAATATTTGTTGAATAAAGAATATCATAATCTACTGTGGTTTATTGCTGAATAATGAATTAGAAGTAGGAAAAAAACAAGCTTAAAAAAATACAAAAGTACAAAACCTTAAGAACTAGGAAAAATCAGATGGATGTAAAACTACTTCTGGGGGATTTGCAGGCATTCCTCACTCTGCCACACGCTTCATTTTCTGAGAGGTATCAACCTGTGACAGTGACTGCAGGCTATATGCTAAAGGCTGGAGGCTAAAGGAATCGTGAATTCCTGCTGACTGCTTTTGTGTTACTCCATTTTCAGTTCTCATTCTGAGCTGAAATTGACAGTTTTAATTAAATAAAAAATGAAAACTGTCCTTCTACTCTATCTAGAATATACATTTTTTGAATTTGAGAAAGTCGCCATGGTTCTTTGTTAAACACAATGGCCATGGACCTGGGAATTTGTGATTTGTTTGCATCAATACCAACTTCTGAAAGTCACTGCTATCCCTTCGCCATAGGAACACTCACCCAGCCTGACCTCCATTACTAACAATGCCACTTGGAGGCTGAATTCGTGCTCCCCACCAGTCAACTTTGTCAAAATTAATTTGAACCAGAACAAATTTAAAACTGTCTACCTACCTCTGGTCCACAGGATCCCCATTTACAATCAATTTCTTAAACACCCCATTGAGAACACGGCTGTGGAGAGGGACTATCAATTTATTAACCTATTTAATAATAAATACAGAATTTAAATTTCTCACTGAATGTTTATTGACCCTGATTTTGCCAGGGCTTCAAGCGAAGGACTTTGGAAGCTGGTTAACTCTTGGAATCCATGAGAATAGTACTTAATATGTTTATCTAAAATGTCATGGAGTAGAAAAGGGCATGAATCATACAATATTTTCTGAAATTTTTTTAAATCAATTTACTTGGTTAAAGGATTAATAGCTCATGGAAAGTAAAACAGCGTGCAAACATTCTTACTTGTAGGAGATGCACTGTTGGCTGGAGAAGGTTGGGCGCCAAGGGTAGATTTTGTAAGATGGAGTGGAGGATCTGTCGGAGGGGTCACTGAGCCTGAAAGGGTGAAACAGACATTTATAATAAGCAAAGTATTGTAACAGAAAAATAAAGTATTGTCTTAGTTTCTCCTCCCCGAAAATTTTATTTATTCATCTAATAAATCAATATTGAGGGCCTTTTATGGGCAAGGCAATGGGATATAATGGTAAATGACGAAGACATGGGGCTGTCATTAAGGAGCAAATAGCCTGGAAAACAGACAGGTAGCTAGGCACTGCATTGAAGTGCTGTGATAGTGTAAGTGCAGGGGGCCACGGAAATGCAAAGGAGGGGCACCAACCAACATTGGGAAATCAGGGAGAGCTTCCTGGAGAAAGTGACATTTAATCAAACCTGGTAAAACAAGTATAGTAGCTAACATTTTGTAGTATTTGAAAAGTAACCACACAGTTTACAAATCTGTAAACCCACAAATCTTTTTTTATCTGCAAGAGTAGAAATAATGATACAACTATCCAATCGGATGTAACATCAATGAACCTAAGATTGACGGTATTGTTATTAGTCTAAAATGTCTATTTTTGTCATACATTTATTTGGCTACAACTTTTCTCTGTGTGTGTGGGGGTGAGGGTGGGAATGAAGGAGAGTCTAGAATACATTGTTTTACTTATCATACTATACATTCATGTCAATTCCTTAAAGCCTCCACTATTGTACTGTAAAATAGTCCTATTAGCAGTATAAAACAACTTACAAATTCCAGAAGGACCTATTGACTTGAGGAACATGTGGGTTAAGTATAGTTAAATGATTTTGAGGCTGGAGGATTTTGTGATTTTCTGGATATAATGACATTGGATATAGTGTCACATGTTTGATGAGCTGCGTCAATTATTTGGATATTTAGTTACAAATTTTGCTATTGGTTTTATTCTGTAATTTACTTTAAGAGAAAAGCACATATTATTTAAGTTATGTCACTTGACAGCACATAGCACATTGGAAGGAATTTGTTTTTGTAGTCTAAAGGCATCTATGTTGTAGTCTCATTGGTAGTAGTGTTGTTATTGCTGTTGGCTGTAGGTGGCGCTCACAGCTGGCTCTGACTTATATAAATGGTTCCTTGCTATTAGTGTCTGAGGAGGTGGCAGGTAGTTATACATAAAGTATATGAATAGGTCGGCAGAATGACCATCTTCTTCCCCTCATGCCATCCCAAACAAGTTTGAACTCTTCAGCATGACATACAAATCCAGTCATGATTTGGCCCCCTCTTATACACCCGACTTCATTTCCTGATGCAGCCTGTCATCCTATACATACCTGTCAAATCACACCCTCAGTCCAACAGGGGGTATTTCAACCCAATTTCCCAAACACAATATGCTCTCCATGACTTCTTGGTCTTTGTGCATGCTATTTCCTGACACCTTCCCATCCTAAACCTCCTGGTAGGTATGCACCTCCTCAAACTTGGAGAAGTCTAGGGATCTTTGTGATGTGTTCATAGCCCTCAATGTTTACTCTAGCAAAGGCCTTATTTCTCATTGGGTATGCCTCTCAAGAGGAGTAATTGTTTTGTTCCTCACTGTATATCTGGTTCCTGGCAAATGAAAGTGGATGAATGAATACATACAAATTCATTCTTTACTGTGGAAGACAGAAGACTAACTTTACATATCTGATTGCTGGTGCATCCTAAGCATCATCTTACAAAGTAGTAACCTGAATAAGGTGGAGTGTGGGCCTAGAAAAATAAATACCGCTTAGGTGTTTTTCTCTGTAGATTGATTAGAACAGAAGTTGACAAAGTATGGCCCACGGGTCAAATCCCACCCATTGCCTATGTTTGTAAACGAAATTTTGTTGGAACACAGCCATGCCAGTTTGTTTATATATTGTTTGTGGCTGCTTTTGTAATACAATGGTAAGGCTGAGTAATTGTGATAGAGACCACAAGGTCCACAAACCATAGAATATTTACTATCTGGCAGATAAAAACAGAAAAAGTTTGCCAACTCCTGAAACAGAAAATGTTGATAGGTTATGCTCAATCCTGGATTTCCATAATAGAAGCATTTATTTTTCATTTATTGAATATTTCTATTTTAGGATGTTATTCTGCCATATTTCAATATCAAATAGCTTTGTAAGCTTAGGGGTTCTCGGTACACACAGCTTCACATTGGAAAGTTGTTACTGCAAGATTTGCATTTTGAGATGAACTCTTTGCCCTGTGACGAAAAGGGCGCATAGCTGTCAACATGATACCTGAGGCCACGAAGAGTCCTTCTCGTTTCTGATTGGCCTGTGAATAGAAACTCTGCTTGGTCTAAACAAAACTCAGCGGGTGTAAAAAGGAGTGGTTAAAACTTAACATGGAAAAATTATTTCCCAAAACTCAAGGGCAGAAGTTAGCAGGAACGTGTCAACCAGTTTCAGCCCATTACATTTAGTATAATGCTGTAAGGGGTTGAGCTGCTGGCCTAAAGCAACTTCATCCATTTCTGAGTGTGTTTGCTCTGCAGCAGGCCTGGCAGGTCTCCCAGGAGCCCCCTCCTGGGCAGCAGTGGCCATGTGTCTGTCCCACAAGGGCAGCTGGGTCAATTCTAGGGTTTCCTCAGAGCTTGAATCAACCCTTAGCTGGTCTGCCTAGAAATTAACCAAACCCCAGGGCTTGCTTCTCAGAATGTCGTCCATGGCGTCTCTTAGGGACTTGTTAAAAATGCAGAATCTTGTAACTGTCAACCCTCCAGGACCAGTTCAACTGACCCCATGTCTTATCAACAGACTGATTAAGAATTGCCTTTCAGAAAATCTGCAAACTCACGTAGCCAGGGCATGTGCAAAAGAAGAAATCATGACCTGAAACAATCTTGGAACCAAAGATCCTCCTTCCCACAGAACCCAAGGACCGGGACACGATCGGAACTTGAAAGTTGGAGTCTTATCAGAAGCGAGGGGTCCCTCATTCAGGAAGATCTGGTGTTAAAACTCCGTCCCCACCTCATCAAAAATGTTTAGAACCCCATCATAAATGTTTAGAACCCTGTCATAAATGTTTAAAACCTTACCACAAATGCTTGAAGCCCACCAACCAAAACCTGTCCCACTAGCATTTCTGCATGCCAGCCTGTTCTCCCTAACCTCTTAAATTTCACCCCAAATCCTGATTCGGGGAGACAGATCTGAGGGCACACATACCCTGTCTCCCTGCAAATGGATCTTGCAGAAGAAAAGCTGATTTCTCCCCCAAAGGCTGATACCATAATTAATTGGCTTATTTATGTGCATAGAGCAGAGAACCCCAATTTTGTGCGGTAACAATCTCAGGCCCTGCCCTCCCCATCACAACTTACTGAATCGAATCTGCATTTTAACAAGATCTTTGGGCGATTAGTATGCATGTCAGAGTCCTTTATTGATACTCCCAGGATCCCCAGGATCAGTCATGGGTGTGAAGGAAATCATGAAATAAGAAGTATTTACTGGCATATCCCACCTCAAGATTCAGTGCTTCTCTCATCCCACTATTGGTAAATCCCTTTTTAATCCTGTCTCCATATCCTAAAATACACATGAACACTCACACACACACACACAACTCATCAACCCTTAACTCTTTCTTCCTATCCCAAATGTCTTGATCTCAACAGTTACAGTCGAACATTCATTTAACAAATCTCCATCAAGGCTGCTGGCAGCCAGGATATTACACACCCTAGGGGGGAGTTGTACTCAACTTTTGAATTAAAACAAAACAAAACATCCCCTCCACCTCAAAAACAAACAAACAAACAAAACCCCCCAACGTTTTGAATATGTCCAAAATTTGACTCTGCAGCGCTACAATTTTAGACATTCTGATTAGTTAGGCTAGCAGGGCAGGATATTTTTAGAAAGGGCTTTTAAAAAAATTTACTGTTGAATCACAGGAATCTGCAGGCACTGGGACTCAAATAGCTGCTTGATGGGCCACTGATCACCCCACCCTGATCCCTTCTCCTTTCTGAGTTTTCTAGAATGAGAATTGCTAAGCACTGAAATTCCTGGGAGTCTGGGAGCTGGTGGGAAAGGAGTCAACTCAGAGGGCTGTTACTTGCTGCCTTCCAACATTATTACTCTTCTGTGAGAACAAAACAGAGCAAAAACTCCTCCTCTTTTCTCACTATATCTACTTTCTGCTCTGTAATAGTCTCAGAATTTCTCGACTTTAACACTCAGAGGAGACAGATTTTCTTCTGAATTTTCATCTCAATATCTGTTAACAAGAATAGCTTGATAGGGCAATGACTCTTGTACAAGGCATCAGAATTATACTCCAGAGTTCATAAGGCACCCAGCATTTCTACCACAGGCAGAAAGAATGTTTGGAAGTTAATGTTTAAGAACTTTTAACAAATAGGGAAATATGATACAGTGATGACATTGCTTTACAGAGCCCCCACTGCATCTTCTGAATCATTCACAAAGATATATGTCAGAATGTGATCAGAATGTAAGCTATAACTTTGGGAAACTGAACTCTTCAAGATTAATTACCTTTAATATTTGATAATAAAGGATAAGAACTCATTTGATGATTTATAATTAACCATCCGCTCAGAGTCTAAAGTTATACTAGATCAAGAGCTGTCCAATAAAATTCAAATTATAGTGGGCTTTGGGTATCAGAATCAGTGCTCTTCCTAATTACCCTAAAAATATTCATTATTTTCTGATCTTAAAACCAAGCACAGTTCAAGAGAATGAGAAGACAAGCCACAGACTGGGATGAAAATATTTGCAAAAGAAACTTCTGATAAAGGACTAATATCCAAATAAGACAAGGAACTCTTAAAACTCAACAATAAGAAAACAAACAACTCGATTAAAAACTGGTTGAAAGACTTTAACAGACACCTCACCAAAGAAGATATACAGATGGCAAATAAGCGTATGAAAAGATGCTCCACATCATATGTCATCAGAGAAACACAAATTAAAACAACAATGAGGTACCACTAAACGCTTATGAGAATGGCCAAAATCTAGAGCACTGACAACAGAAAATGCTGGTAAGGATGTGGAGCAACAGGCACTCTCATTCACTGTTGGTGGGAATGCAAAATGGTACAGACACTTTGAAGGCAGTTTGGCGGTTTCTATCAAAAGTAAACATACTCTTACCATATGATCTAGCCCTCACGCTCCTGGATATTTACTTGAAGGAGATGAAAACTCATATCCACACAAAACCTTCACATGGCTGTTTATAGCCACTTTATTCACAATTGTCAAAACTTGGAAGCAACCAAGATATCCTTCAGTAGGTGAATGGATAAATAAACTGTGGTACATCCAGACAATGGAATATTATTCAGTGCTTAAAAGATATGAGCTGTCAAGTCACGAGATGACATAGAAGAACCTGAAATGCATATTACTAAGTGAGAGAAGCCAATTTGAAAAGACTACATACTGTATGATTCCAACTATATGACATTCTGGAAAAAACAAAACTCTAGAGACAGTAAAAAGATCAATGGTTCCCAGAGGTTAAACTGGCAATAAGGGAGGGTGGGCAGAGCATGATGAATAGGAAGACCACAGAGGATTTTTAAGATAGTGAAAATACTTTGTAGGATACTATAATGATGGGTACATGTCATTATGCATTTGTCCAAATCCATAGAATGTACAATACCAAGAGTGAATCCTGAGGTAAACCATGGACTTTGGGTTCATGTGTCAGTGTAGGTTCATCAACGGTAACAAATGCACCTTTCTGGTAAGGATGTTGATGATGGGAGAGGTTATGCATATGTGGGGGCAGGATATGTGGGAAATCTCTGTGCCTTCTTCTTAATTTTGCTGTGAACCTAAAACTGCTCTAAAAAAATGAAGTCATAATAAAAAAAACCAAGCACAATTTTCACATCAGAAAATATTGATTTTTCAAACGTGATTCTGTCTACAATGAAAATAAGATTCTCCCGAGGAATTTGGGGTTGTTCAGTCTTTAGCTTGTGTCTTTAGATTCCGCAAAAGCTACTGGCAAATCTATGTGAGAAGCAGTTACCTTCACAGTGTTCCCAGACGGCAGTCCTCATCATGTGCAGCCTTCTAGGAAGGAGGTGCACTTATTTCTGAGGGAATTAGGCAAAGTTGAGTATGGACGTTTCACTGTAAACCCATGACCCTTTCTGAATGGTTAACTCAAATTTCACAGGACGATGTGTTCCCTCATATAAATGTACACACATGCAGGATTACAGAGATGATGCCACTGTCCCCATATGAGAATGCTACCTGCTTCTGAGTAGTGGGGATGGATTAGCCCTGAGCCATATACCCTTCTCCACCCAAGGCTCCCAGTAACCAAGCACTTGTATTTGTGACATGGCTGAGCAGGACCCGAGATGCAGATTGTGGCCTTGGAACAAAGAGGAACTCTTTCCCTCATACTCTGGTTTTTATGAGTATACTATAGACTACAGCATCTCCGAAAATAAGAAGGTGGTAAAAGATGTTAATGGTCCTGCAGAGTTTAAATAATGACTTGCCAATCTGTTTAAATTTTATAGGTATTACTTTACTGTTACATATGCATATTTGACAGTTGTCATCACAAACTTCTGTTTTTTTAATAGGCAATCTGTTGTCACTGTATGTGTTGAGACATTTGTTCACATCTTTTATGTAGTAAAATCTCCATTATTATTTTTTGTGTGTGTGAGGAAGATTAGCCCTGAGCTAACATCTGTTGCCAATCCTCCTCTTTTTGTTGAGGAAGGTTGGCCCTGGGCTAACACCCATGCCCATCTTCCTCTACTTTATATGGGATCCCGCCACAGCATGGCTTGATAAATGGTGCATTGGTCTGCACCCAGGATCCGAATCTGTGAACCGCAGGCCGCTGAAGCGGTGCGCATGAACTTAACCGCTATGCCACTGGGCCGGTCCTAAAACCTCCGTTATTTGATCTGGTTCAGAGCAGTAAATATTCTGCTTAATCAAATGTTGTAAAAAGTAGAATGATTCTACACATCAATTTTCAAGTCATAAAAGTCATCTATGTGCCAAATACTGTGCTTCAAACTATGGGTACCAAAATCATTAAGATACAGTCCCTATTCTTAATGTATTTATATCTCATACGTGGTTTAACCATTCCTAAGTATTAAAATTATATATGCTATATATAATTGAATGTTTTGGTGACTTGGAAGAATTTTAGGATTTAAAAAAAATCTCTCTTGATCATTAATATATTAGCATTAATTTTCATTATATGGTAGATTAACAAAAATGCTAGTTAATTAAGAGTTATTATTAATGTAATTTGAACCAAAAATTTGCTATATTCACCAGAAATAATTCTTAGAAACAAGAATCAGCTACTTTTCATTTGAAGAAATTCTTTTCAGCACAATCTCATTTGTTAAAAAACGTTTGCTAATTTGAAATTTAATAATTTTGAGTCACGTAGAGAGAGTTTTCTGAGATTAAGATATCATGTAAATAATAAGTATTCTATTTGTTCCAATTAGAAATGTTCTGAATTTAGAGCAGTCTTGGCCCACCACTTGTTTACCTCATTAAATAGACAACTCACCCAAGGAAAAAGGGATCTTTTCAGACGAGATGTTCCACACTTGATTTCCAGGGCCTGGAGACAGAGCCTTACACCAGATGCTCAGGTTGTTCATTTGGGCTGGTTTATCACCATACACCATTGTCAAAACAGACTTCAGTTCCAAAAATCCTCCTTTGCCTTTTATCTCCTCATTAGTGATGTGTATTTCTACGAGACAGATAAGAACAAGGTTAGTCACCAACGTGTTCTGTATGAGCCATCCATTGCTGTCAGGCATGGCTGGAGGCGGTTTGATTTATGGTAATGTGGTGTCTAAAGTGGTCAGACCGCAGCTTCTGTGCAGTGAGGGTTTGTTCCAGCAGGCCTGGAATTAGCCTGAACTGTTCTGCTCAAGCTCGTGCATGGCATTAATCCATGGTCAAGGTATGGAATGTATTGATCAATAGTGTTGCTTTGTCTGTGACTATGGGTCCAAGGGGTTTGGGGCAGGTTGTCCCAGCTCTCCAGCATTGTTCATTGATAATGGTGAGACTGATGATTTGTACCTGGTCTGGGTGAGAACCTGGGAGGGCTCTGCTGTCGAGTCTGGGAACATAGCAGGACTGTGCCCAAGAGACCAGTGAAATATAACACAACCTTGGCCAAGACTCCATTTGGGCTCTCCACTTCTGAGGCGTTCTGTGCCATATCGATGGCTCCCCCTTACACAGGTCCCCCTCACAGAGGGAGGACAAAGGAGCCCATGCCTGACTTTGCAGGACTCCTTCCTCTAAATGCACATGGTGATGCATATCCTCACTTTAATGGTGTTACTATATTGCATCTTGTTCCTGAAATAAGCTGTAGATTTATAACCATTGTCATTTTGGGCCTTGTAAGTCTTCTTTAGAAATAGAATGCTGTTTAACTGCCCCTGTTAGTACAACCTCCAAATAGCATGCATGACAGCAGGAAATTAATGTAAAACCATCTGTCACCATAGGCCAGAACTTGCTGAACTCTCACAGCTTCTTTACAGTAAAGGTTCCAAATGCTAGTTCTGGTGTTATTACTTGCCAAAGTAATAACTAAATGTAGTTGTATGCTGGTAGAACTCAGACCACACTGTCTGGCCTCATGGTTGGGAGGGTAATGGTTACACCAAGTCTCAGGGCTTATTTAACAGGGGAGCCTATCTATAATGACCTTGAACACATATTTTCAGGATTGCATCCAGTCATTATTGTGGGAGAATTCTTTTTAAAGTGAACTAATAACAAAACCAATAATAGTCTCAAAATGAATCAAGTGGATCAATGCAATCATTCATCAACATCAACTTTTAATTTCATCAATTAAAAATAATAGTGCAGCAAGAGCCATGTGACGCAGTTACTGTTAAAAATATATTGAGCTTTGGGGAAAAATGACTCAGGAGAAAAGAGAGGGGCTGTTGTCCCAGGCAGGGGACAACTGGGATTGTTCTGGCAAAGGCTGCCATGTTTACCGCCCATGAAGAATGTGGCTTTGTGCATTCTCACCTGGGCTTGTCTCAGTGTATGTTCTTGCTCCAGGAACTTTTAATCCTCCTGGTGAACAAGTTCCTCGTCATGGAGCCAAGTCCTTTATGTACACTTCCTCTAGTCCCCCCCATCTCCGCCCCACCCGGATCCTTACCAAAAAAAGTAAAAATTATTTGTTTATTGATTTAAAGCAGTGGTGCCAAGTTAACTGAACTCAATGAAATTATTAATAAATGTATGTTGCATTAAACTTTTTTGCCCTCTTATAAGAGATCTGCTTTTACGAACAGTTAAATAAAACACTACTGTTTATACGTGAGTTGACAAAGTCAACTGTATTCCTTACATTCTGAGAAATGTCTCCCCCGCCCATCCCCTTGGAGGAGCCAGATGAGGTGTCAGAAAATGGCATTTGGTAGGCAAGATGATGTTTTTCTTGGAGTGAGAATTGTTCTTAAATGCCAAGATCAGCTTGGGCAATGGCACTTTCTATTGTTCTTTGTTTTTTTTCTTTCTTTGTCAAACCCATTTCCATTGGCTGATTTCCTTACCTTCTCTTTCATCTTGAGGAAAGGTTCCATCTATAAACCATGTGAGATTTGCTGTGGGAAATACATTCCTCAGTGAGCAGGTAAATGTTCTCTGGGGGTAAAGACAGAACACAGAAAGGATTATTTGCAAATTCAGAAGAAGTTGGTGCCTCTCACATCTCCACCAACCCTCACACAAGGCAAATTGGCAGGAAACCATTTTCTCCACTTTTAGCAAGGCAGTGTTTACCTTTAAGAGCTTGTGTGAAAAGGTAAACTATACAGAGGCTATCTCCTATAGAGATGTATAAATTAGTGGCTGCAATCTTAGGTGAACTTAAGAAGAATGTAGGACCATACTAACATTGTGATTCTGCGTTCTGGAAAAGGAAAATCACAACTTCATATAGGCAGAATAAAATAGTACTAAATGGAAACCAAAGGATGGAAGGAAGAAGCTCTAACAGGCAGAGACCAGAGAAGAATGTTCTGTTAGACTAAAAGTTAAAAAAGATCCACACTTTGGTTGTTTCCATTCCCAAAATAACGTAAAGTACTGTCTGCAGCAACAACCACAGAAACCATTTAATATAATTATCTTACTTTTGACGTGCAAAGAGTTTTCCTAATTAATTTTTCATTTTATCATCTTACTAATCCTAAAGGGTAGATAGGATATGCCTTATTATTGCCATTTGACAGACGGGGAAACCAAGACACAGAACCACAAAATGGTTAAAGGGAGTGGAATATAGGCGATGGCATAATTGGGAACGATGTTACCTCAATCCCAGACCAAAATACTTCCTGGCAAAACACACTGTATTGAAATAAGAAAGAAACAGAAGAACAGGTAGCTTACGTAACAAAACAAGAGAGCTCCGAGGTAGGGTTAGTCAGGTTTTACTTCCAACACTGTGTTTGCGCTTTGTGAGACAGTGGTTTCTTCAACAGCCTGGTGAAGATATCCAATAAGACTTATTGGATCCTCATTACTTTATCTGAGACACTGCGAAATTATAATCCCATTTATAGTTACTTGTCTTCTCATCAAGAGATGTGTGTATTTTACATGTGACTTGCCCTAGTTCTTAGTCCTCGAATATTTTCCACAATTAATGATTAGTTAACTAGTAAAGAACAATTAACTGTGTGTAACTCTTGGTGTACCAGTGTCCCCACAGACTAGTTATGCCCAAAGAGTCTGGTCCTGAGCAGGACTGGGAAACCCAACTTAAGGATACTAAGTAACATTTTTCTGGGGAGATCCTACTGAGGTGCAGTTTAACATCCCTCAGTATGTCACTACAAAAACGCCAAGGAAATCACAAGACTTTGCGAGGAGGCTATCTATCGTATCTCAGATTATGGTGGCAAACACTGAAGCTCCCAGTTTTCCCACCTGTTCAGCACTCAACAACTGGGCTGTATGCATGTGACAGGAATGCAGATCCATGCAGTTATGTCACTCTCTGTCCTAGAAAATCAAAAGTAAAACCAGGTCCCCTAAAATATATTCTTATTAAGTAAAGGAAAGAGAATTCAGTTTACTTAATCCAGCAAAATGCCAAAGACGGATGTTTATCTCCAGGTAGTCCATGAAGGGATGTAAGAGCTATAGAAAATAAAATGTTAAAAAAAAGAAAGTTGTGAAGTTTTGCATTAATGTCAATACTTTTAACCACTCTCGTGATTCATTTCCTCCATGCTCAGTTGACCCATCAAGAGATGATGATACAGTAATATCAGGAACAAGTGGGGGTTCCATTACTTTACAAAGGCAACTGGCTCACTGAAGAAATCTCTTGTCAAATTAATAAAAATGTTAAAAAGATTTAACTCTTGTGGATTCTCTGAATTCAGATTTTATGGAATGATTCAGATTTCAAATATTCTATACCAAGACTGTGTTCCAAGATTTTGTTTAGGAATACGGTTCTTGTCCTGAAATTCCTTCCAGTCTTTCTAAAATTGAAAAGCCACAGAATATACTAGTTTAAATTGATGTCAAATATGTTATGAAACATCAAGCATATATGGTTTGCTGAGCAAGCAGAGCTGTCTTCATTTTGGAACTTACAAATGAGTAAGAAAAACATGCTAAATTTGAAAAAGAAATGAAGTAAATATGCACAAGACTGTATGTGCACACACACACATACACGTATTCCTCTGCTGAGAAGTCAAAATCATTTACTCACTCATTGTGTGCCTGTTACATCCACGAGACAAGCCAAATAACTGGTTTCCCCAACATATTATTCTAAGCATACATGGAAAAAGTGAGCAATAATAGCAGAAAGAATTATGTAGTAAGTGCCCAAAAGTATGTGGACAGTTCTGTAGGAGTGCAGAGAAGGGTGAAATCTGGGAATAACTTAGAGAACAGGGTTACATTTTGTGGACAGGGAAGAGAAAGGCCTGGATTCTACAGGTGGTCTGTGGTGGAAAGCAGTGGGGATTCACAGAGATGGACTGATGGGCTTGGTTCATAGGCCTAGGTGTGAGTCGGGGACATTGTCCTGGAAACAGAGAGAAGCCAGTGGACAGCTGGAGCATGATGAGATTGATGATTCATGAAAAATAAATCCAAATCTGGCTGTAAGACTGATCATTTCCGTATTGCCACAGCTGAAATACTGAAATGGTGACCATTTGTAAGTTAGCCCATAGTCAGTTTGCCTAAGTTTGACAGAACCTTTTCCATAAGGCTTTTCATAGAATCATTTTGAAAACTTTTACCTTTTTAGTCTAAAAAGAGAAATCTTAAAAGAAAAATTTCCCTATGTATTTACCAACTCTTCATTTCTATTTGGAGTCTTCTCCCTCCCTTGTGGTTTTTTGTTTTTTTTTTTTTCATTTAAAATGTAACTTTCAGTCTCTATGTGCTTTCTACTCTGCCACTTCTATCTTTTCTCCTGTAACTCAAGGTTTTCTCTTCCATAAACACATTCTTTTTTTTTTTTTTTTTTTTGGGAGGAAGATCAGCCCTGAGCTAACATCCGTTGTCAATCCTCCTCTTTTTGCTGAGGAAGATTGGCCCTGGGCTAACATCCGTTCCCATCTTTCTCCACTTTATATGGGACGCCACCACAGCATGGCTTGACAAGTGGTGCATCGGTGCACGCCCAGGATCTGAACCTACGAACCCTGGGCCGCCTAAGAGAAGCACACACATTTAACCGCTGCGCCACTGGGCTGACCCCCACAGACACCTTCTTTAAAATGTTCCTGTCTCCTCTTGGTAAGTTTTACTTCCTCAATTTCAATACATATATAATAAATTTGTTGTATGTATGTACGTATATATTTTTTGTTTCAGTTATAATTATCCTTTTATTTCACTCCAACTGAGAGTAGAAGCCAATAGCATTTCAACTTTTCCAACTCCATTACATAATATAATAAAAAGCAACCCCAAATCTGTTTCTCAATTTGCCATATGTCTTTGAATTTGTGGGTTTCCTTTCACTTATCTTCTCTTTTCTGCGAATTCTTTGGCTTTCTATTGACTGTATTTACAACATCCAGAGTTTCCAAACCAAAAATCGAGATTCATGGACAAAGTATTTGAAACCACAGATGTCCTTGAGGCGTGTGGTTTCTCTGCCCATATTTCACCCTTTTCCTCTCATAAATCTCTTTGCTGGAAAGGGCAGATGATCTAGTCATCGGGAAACAGAACTAAGACTTGTAGGTGCTTGATTTACTGTTTTACTTGTGGCATTTGCCAGGAACACTTTCTTTAGGTGGTGGTGGTGGTGGGGCGGAGATAAAGTTTGCATTTGTGTCTGTGTTGCAGAAAACCCTACAGGAAGGGACACACCCACTTGGAAAGGAGGCTTCCCTGGACGTGGGAGGAGACAGGAACTGCAGGTGCCCTCCTCCTGGGGGCAGGAGTCGGCTAATAGCTCTCTGAGCTTGCAGGAGCACTCACCCTGCACCAGAGCCATCAGAGACGAGTCCAGAGGCTTCCTACCTGTAAGTACCCACTTGTAGCTGGGGAGGGTTTCCCAACTGTTTGGGGTTGCAAAGCTTGACCAATGAGGCTCTCAGTCACTTAAGAAATGACCCAAGAAAGGAGAGAGAAGTCAGGCTGTTTTAAAAATGTAGTGTAATTTTCCATTGATATATTTATCCTTAAAATGGGGTAAATAAGCCAGACATCTGGAGTAAGCTGCTGTCAGGAAGGTCTTATCAGCTGTTGGCTTTGCAGGGGATGGTGCCAGGGAAGGTGGAGTGTGGTGAGCTGCTTGCCAAGGACGACCAGCCGACACCAAAACTGTGGAGACATGCTCTCCCACTTTCTTCTCCTGCTGAAAGCAGCTAAGCCTGCTGTTTGGATTTCTTAGAATCCCAGCCCCCCAGGGACCTCTCTAGAGACAAACTGACCTCACACCGAGACCCTGGCACGTTTCATAGCTTCTGGACTGCATGTTGCAACAGTTCTTGGGAAGCACGCGTCTCTCCTACATCAGCATCTGTCCGTGCTTACTTCTACCTACACGGAGGAAGACCCGGTGAGGCCCCAGCTCTGGTGGTCCCGAACAGCCTGAACCCTGAGGCTGCTCCTCCTGCCTCCAAACATTTTATAGGTACCCAGGAGCACAGAAACAGTGGAAGCCGCCAGGAGGAGAATCAAGAGAAAACCTAAGATTTTCAATATTCAAAAGCACCCGCGGTGGTGGTTGATGTCGAGAACACTGAGTTCACTGTAGAGCTTTGTAACTGCTGGGCTAATTCTTTTGTCTTTCTGGCTCAGCCAAGGAGGGATCAGTACGTACCTGGGACTGGGAGGGAATGTACACGAGAACCTCCGAGGCCGTTTGGCTTGGCTCTGACTCACCCTGACTCTCCAGTGAAGCAGAAAGGAGAAAACATCACACCACCCAGGTGTGGTCAGACTTTGACCATTATTGTGAATCCCCAAGAGTTACCACGGTCCCTTTCTAAGTCCTCATTTAGCCTTAGTTGTGGTTACACTAAGACTCTCGGCTCAGGGAAGCTGTAGAAGAGGAGACAGGATGAGGCGGGAAGAGGAGGAAGAGGAGGGAACTAGGATGAAGGCAAAAGGGGACTTAGAGATGAAGGAAGAGGAGGACATCAGTGAGACAGGAGAACTGGTCGGCCCTTTTGCAAGTGCGCCACCCACCCCAATACCCCACAACAGGGGGACCCGGTTCTCTGAGGCATGGGAGTATTTCCACCTGGCCCCTGCTCGGGCTGGGCACCACCCCAACCAATACGCCACCTGCCGCCTGTGTGGCAGGCTGGTGAGCCGTGGCCCTGGGGTTAACGTGGGCACCACGGCCCTGTGGAAGCACCTGAAAAGCATGCACAGAGAGGAGCTAGAGAAGAGTGGCCACAGTCAGGCAGGGCCGCGCCAGGACGCAAAGCCCCCAGGGCCTCAGCTCCCCATGGGCATCGAGGGCGACTGGGCCAGGTTCCTGGAGCAGGTGGGGGCCCTGGCTTTATGGGCCAGCCAAAAGGAAAAGGAGGTACTTAGGAGGGAGAGGGCAGTGGAACGGCGGGAGAGGGCCGTGGAAAGGAGAGAGCAAGCCCTGGAGGAGGTGGAAAGGGCCATCCTGGAGATGAAGTGGAAGGTGAGGGCTGAGAAGGAGGCCTGCCAGAGGGAGAAAGACCTGCCTACAGCAGCTCATCCCTTTCATTTTGTTTAACTCGGGCTTGGGGGAATCTTTTCCGAAAACACTGACTTTAGACTCATAGCAAAGAGCTTAAGTATAAAGCAAAGTAGTTTAGCTAGATTTTCTTTTTAGGAGAAAGAGTGCATAGTATGGGTTTATTTCAGCAAGTCTGCATTGACCAAATGCTTATCGACAGGGTTCCCAGAGCTGTGCTGACCCTTGGCCAAAACTTAAAAATGTACTAATTAAAGATAAATGTGTTGTTGCCACCATGGGTCTGTGAATTGTTTTGGAGCAGAATGTACCAGCCTATCAACACTGATGAGTGAAAATAATGGGATTTACGCCTAGCACTTGGTTTTGGTGGAGTTGAAAGTTTTGATGGTTTAGGCTGGTTGGGTAGCTGGAATGTGCCTACGTGACCAGCTCACTCTGAGACCCTGCCATGAGCAGAGGGTAGGTTTCCTGGGACCGTGGCGTTTGCACTTGTTCTGGTGGTGATTCGAGAACTGGATACAAAGCCTGTTCTTTGGGCCCACAGTGGAAGGACAAAGAAGCTTGAGCCTGTGATCTCCGGGCCCCTCCAATGCATATCTTTCTCCTATTGTTACAGTGTTGTATCACCTGCTTATATTAAAGCTGTGTCATCAGTATAACTTGCCTGAATCCTATAAGTCTTTTCAATACTCTAACACTCAATGTAGTTAATGTGTAATCAGAACAGAGAGGCTTAAAGATTTTTCAACTAGCATTAAACATTAAGAATAGAGGATATAAAAATTGATTCATAAATATTTAAAAATATAATCTAATTTCATATTGAGGTTTGTTGAAAGGGAGTTAGGAAGAGATGAAAGAAACCCAGAAAGAAAAAGAAAAAAGTGGAGAGATGGGGTAACTGAGGAGAAATAAAGAACAGAGGCAGAAAAGTGAGAAAGAAAGAAAAAGGGATAGAGAAGAAACAGGAGAAGACAGACAGCTGCTGAGAAACAATTCACCATGGAAAGATAAAAAAGATCATGACTATCCGGGAGCGTGAAGGGCAGACACCATTTTCAGATTCTAACGTCTATTTTAATGAGTCAAATGCTTTTGTTTTGTCCCCATAGACCACTGCTCATTCATCTGAGCTGCAAGTTTTGGATTTTATTCCTGCCTCTGAACTTCTAACTGCATGCCAATCCATTGTCCTCTGATTTTTTTAACCGTTCATCTTCAAATACTCATAGATGCTTTGAAAAAAGGGAGCCTAAGAGTCCATAGGGAGAGAAGAGTTCCGTGGGCTGCTGAGGATGTGCCTAAAACGTTAACTCAGGAATAAAATAAAACCAAAGTGAAAACTATTCTGGCCTTCACGCTGGAGCTGACTTTGGTTTTGGATGATTCCTCTAGAACCTGTTATCTTTTTTTAACTGAATTGGGAGTGGGGAAGGGGCATGGTGAGAGCTGGGGAAGACAAGAGGAGATAGAGACAGTATCTCACCCTCTTGTAGATAGCCTAAGTACTTTATGGGCACTGACTCCGTGAAAGTGGACAAGACCCTGGTGTAATCACGGCATCTTGCCTCGTTTGGTCCTCACCTATGTGGCTCCCTCTTACTGCTTCTTAGACTCGTCAGCAACTCTAGCAGCCAGATCTGTCTTCCCTGGGAGCTGTTTGTGGAACAAACACAAGTCCAAACTCTAAGCTTATGGAAAACCCAGGCTGCACTGCAGTTCTGTGATCCCCTTTATTCTAGAAATCTGCCTGATATTAAAGATTTCACTTCCCATGTGGTTTCCCCACAGGGGTGTGGTGCCCCACTAGGGTCCTCTCCATCCATAAAAGCTCAGGGGGTCACCACCACAAATGATGGTGGCGGCTGGGAGTCACATGGCTGGACATTTGGACTTAGAGCCTTGTTGTGCCACAAAAGACGCTAGGAAAAAAAAAACAGAAAGAAAGACAAGAGGCTGCAATCCTTAATCTTAAACACACACACACACACACACACACACACACACATTTGGAATGGAGCTTGAAAACGTCAAGAAATCCACAAAGATTCAGGCTTGCAAAACTGAAATTAAATAAACAGAAACAACTAAATTCTGCAAACGGCTACTGGAGATATCCTGCTAAACTCTGATGTGTGTTTTTAGATTTTGGTGTCTGTTTTACGTGGTTCTTATTATTTTAGCTTGTCTTCCTTTTCAGTCCTTTTAACCCCAACTGCTTTTGTTTCCTATGTTTCATGTTAGGTGGTTTTCTTTATATTTTTTCCTTAAGTTTTGTCAAACATAATAAAGGTAGAGAGTAACAAGGAACTCATGGAGATGACGGACTTAAAGTGTAAAGCACAGGCATAAAAGAGAGACACTGCTTGTGGAAAGACTGAAATGTTGAGTACACTCTGGAATTTTCATGCATCTCTCTTGTGCCTTCTTTTGCTGCTTCATTAGAGTGGAGTATGGAGGGCAGGGCCTGGAAGCTGAGGGGCTCTTTGGCCCAGCACCTCTTGCTCTACTGCAAAAATCCACTACATGGAGGGCCCTGAGGATTAAGCTAAAGACTCCTTTCCTCTCAGTTGCATGCCATGTTGGAACCCTAACGAAGCTTTGCCCTTAGGAACACACAAAAAGATGACATCCACAGGTGTGGCACTCTCCTTGGACATCCCCGGCATGTCTAAGCCTGAGAGCCGTCATTGTTAGAATAATTTGGGTAATTTTCTATTTTATAGGAAGACTAAATTAACCATAAACTTTATAAATTTAACTAGTAACACTGGAAAACACAACTCACAACTGACCAAATCCCTATTGTTCTAACACCAAGGGCTGCTGGTGTAGTGAATATGTAGCACATAGTAGGCATCCAATACGAGTGTGTTGACTTAGTTAGTTTCTAAGGAATGAAGGGAAGTGGGTAGAAAATTACCATTACCCAACACTTATGGTTGCCAGATGGTAGATACTTTGCACACGTTCTCTCATTGATCCTTATATCACACTTGTGAGTTGGGATCATTGTCCCTGTTCACTGATGAGGAAGCTAAGGAACTGAGGTCCCAGGAGCCAGAGTTCATAAATGATGGAGGAGGATTGAGACCAAGTTCCATCAGATTCCACAATCTATGTTCTGGTTTTTCATCATCCCACACTGGCTCCTAGAATCAATCACAGAGTAGATTTATGAATATACATGCAGAGGAAGAAATGAGTGAAAGAGAGTGGGTGAATGATAAATAGCAGGGAATAAAGAGATATTCCTGAGATATCTGCTACGTGCCATGTACTCTATTACTGTGCGTAAATTTAATTCACCTAAGAACCCTGTGAAATATTTATTATGATCCAAGTTTTAGAGATGAGTTAGTTGAGACTCATGCAAGTCAATTACTTGATGAGGATATATAGCTAGTAACTGGTCAAATCAGGATTTGACATGAGTTCTCTCTGCCCTTAAAGCATGATCTCCCTTCATGATACCACCCTTCCTGACAGGAGCACGCTAAATTCTTGTCCCAGCTCTGCCCTTTATTAGTGACGCAGCCAGTCATTTAGACTCTTCGGACCCCAATTTTTCACTTGTAAAATGACAGATGCCCTACCTATTTCAGAGGCTCCTTGGGAGCATCACATGATAAAAGCATGTGAAAGGGCTTTGAAGAGTTAATAAGTTGTTAAAAATACAATGGGGATTATAAGAATATTAGAGTAAGGAATTACTAATATTTGGCAAGATCTTAAAAGATCCATAGGCAAGCTGTGTCTTGTAGCTGGTTACGTGGAGATTGTGAAAGATTATTCACTAATTCTCTAGAAAGGAAGGTTCTTTGCTTTTCCTAGTCAGCACCTAGGCAAGCATGGGTACAGAAGAGGGAATTTGAAAACATGTAAGACAAAGACCTGTTTTTTAAAAACTGGAATTCTTGGATCCAATCTTATGGTTCTATATCTGGACTGAATCCATATTACCTGTAAACATTGGCACCAAGAACCTACAAGAAATCCTTATAAGAATCAAAAACACCTACCAAACATTGTACCATTGGATTATTTGTTTTATTTAAACTATTGAAATAAAGTCCACTAATAAAATTGGAAATTAATTTTGGCAGAACAAAAAATTTAAAATCTTTTTCTGTATACTCAGGACAAGAATAGCAATTATCTAAGAGACTAATATATAAAATCAACAAAAGACACAAATGCTTGGATAATGCATATATACGCTCATCTAAAACCATCCCACAGAATCTGAGTGATGACTTGTAGGCAGCTATCAAATTAAATGACTGATATTCAGCAGGACCAGAAATCATAAGTTATTTAATGTCCCTGGGGCTAGAAGTAACTAGACTATGAGTATAATTTTCTCTCATCCCAGGTACCAAGGAAATGTATGAGACTTAATAAGAATATTTATTTTACTTGATTTTTGGAAAGCTTGAATGAAGTCATAATGCCACAAGACAGCTGATTAACACACATAATAGTAATAACAACAACAACAAGAACAATATTTATTGAGTTCTTCATATATGCCACACAATACACTAAGAAATTTTCATACATTATCTCATTTAATTCTTAAAAACAACAATGTGCAGATAATCTTTTTATCCCCTTCATATAGATGGGAAAGTTGACTACAAAGACATGAAGCAATTTGCCCAAGGTCACAGCCAGTGAAAGGAAGAGCTGGCAAGTGAGCCCAGACCCCAATGACTAGAGGCTGGGAACTACCTACAACAAATTGAAGTCAGAGAGCCCTACTCACTTTTCCTTTTCTCCTGCCCTTTCTCCTACTGTCTAAGAAGTAGCTAGGGTTCTGAAGGGGTAGAGAAGGCCACATCTCCTCTTGCTACTTCAAAATAAAAACAATGAGAAAGCTGGTACAGAAAATGGATTAGAACAAATTAAATGTCAACTAAACAAAAACCTTATTTTTACGCCAGGATTCATGCTGCTTTCTGCCCTACTTTTCCTTCAATATCTATTTCAATTTTTATCAAAGAGAAATTTAAACCATTGAGACAATTTTTCTAGAAAATTTAAGGCTAAGAATCACATGTTCTGAGAGCCCTAAGTTGGAAAGTAAGGATTCCCATTTGTTTTCTAGAATCAACTCAGTTTCCTTTCTTCCTCATTAGAAATCAATTGGCTGAGGTTCAAGGACCAAGGTTCTTTGAGAAAACATTCTGGACAATGATGCAACCTGACACACCTTGGCATATTACACTACAGATTTTCAGAGGCTTTAATGTGACTCACCTCTCCCAAGACATCCATGGAGTTGTTTTCCACAATCATGGGGATTTCTGGCTTAGCTTAAAGGCAAATAAAACACAATTAGTGGCACTGAATGCCATCCTACCTGGCCTACTTTTGTGTGTGTGTGTTTGTGTAAGATTCATAGTTCATCAGATATTTATCAAACACCAACTGTGTGCCCAGCACTATGCTAGATGCCTAGGAAACAAAGGTGAACAGATCACCTTCACTGTCCTCAAGAAATTTACATTTTCATGGAAAATGCAGCTACATAAACTAGAAATTAGAACACACTGAGATAAGTTCCATAACTGAGGACATGTAGGATTTGAAGAAGGCTTTTAAGAGGAAATTCTAGCCCAGCCTTAGAGGATAAGACGAGGCTTTGGAAGATGCAACATCTAACTGATACTTGAATGATGATTATCGGTGAGTCAAGCGAAATGGGGAATGTGGAGGAGGGGAGGGAGAAGTGGTAGAGAGAGAGAAGAGATGAGTATTCTACGTGTCTAAAGGCCTAGAAATAAAATATGGTTTACAGGTCCCTGAGGGGGACAGGAAAAACACTGGATACTTGTTTAGTTTCTTGATACTAGAAACTATCAGGGACTATTTCAGTGATATTGGTGTCCTGCTAGATTGTAAGTGCCTTGAAGCCAGACTGCTTTATTCATCTCTCCATCTCTAGCACTTAACAGTGCCCAGCACGAAGTCAACACTGAGTACATCATGTTGAACTGAAGTGGCTTCAAGTAGGTTCTTGAGCATAGCAGGCAAAACCCTCTATGAACCAGTGGGGAAAATACTGAGGCCCCTTGTCACAGGTATAGTCAGAGCTGCTACGTCCATTTGGCGTTGCCTCTACTTACTGAAGGCCTCTTGCTGGGCATGGCTATGACTCTCTCCCAAGGATTTATTGGGGTTATGGGAGCACACTTAGTCCACAAGTAGAGCAAACTGGAAGTCCTAGAGAGTTAACGATGATAACACGGGGAGCTGGTGGATAACACCCCAGCTTCCTTGCCAATAAATTAATTTAACTCAAATTCTTGTCTCAATGTTTTCTTTCAGGGGAACCCAAACCAAGATACAACCCTAAAACACTGATGGGAGGAGGGGTATTTCTGACCTCCTACTAGCAATAAATACCAGTAGAATGAAGGACCTGAAATAAGGAACAAGTACTAAAAGTTGCAGGGGTGGTAGAGACATATTCTTTCTGAGACCCAGGACAATCAGGTTTAGCGCTTAGGAGTGGAGGAGAGCAAATTTGTGACGGCAGGTGATGCCCGCTAAGGGAAGTAATGTTAAAGGAGATACAGGACATGGTTTAAATGCTAAGGCAATTAGATCAACTTATGGTGCAAAAACCCTTAGTCCAGTGGGGCACAGTTTGCCTAACTTAGAATTGATATTTCTTTTCACATCCTGGATGGCTGCCTTCATTGATTTGTCAATAGTGAGGTCAGATGAGTCAATTTCATGTTTGTACTAAGAAAGTCACACTCCATAAATGAAAGAATGGTCATAATCGATAAAACAGATGAACAGTCTTTTCCAGCTCTTCACAGGGCATTGTTCAGGCTCCATAAGGAACCTGCTCATGGGGGGCAATTGATTTTTTCCTAGCCCATTCCTGAGGAGAGATGAAGAGAGAGGGAGGAAAGGAGGGCGTGAATGAGGGCAGGAGGAAGAGGGCAAGAGCCAGAGAGAGAGACATAGGAAAAGCTATAAGCCAGAGACTTCAAACTAAATAAATCTTGGCTGTAACTACTCCCATCTTTGTGAACTACAAGTTTTGCATTTCCTCCAAAATTCCAAATTGTGCGACCTCTAATAATGCAATAAGATTCTAAGTAAAAACAAAGATTTTTCACTTCTCCTCTCATTCAGAGAACTGAGGGAAAATCCTAGCAGCCCATGCTCTTAGGTTTTGTGAAGTGATTTTCTCTTTGTTTACCTCATTTTCGAGTGAAAATTTACCATTTACCACATTGCTCATCCACATCGTTGCTTTTTTTCTTCACCTTCATTTGAGAATGAAGTTTTAGAAAACACAATTCTTGGTCACAAAGATGAAAAAATATCCAAAGCTAGGGGTTTCTGCTTATTAACATTTCCGTGCATCACTGAGCAAAATAGAATTTTCACATTTTCTCCCAAATTTGCACCCTGCAGAGTCTCTGCAGTTTGAGTGAGGCCACAGTGGCTATTTCAGGTCAGCTCCACACTTCTGTGAATGCAGGCTCAGAGGGCCATCCTGCAGGCTCTTTTGCTGGAGGAGCTAGACAGTCTCTCCCCACAACTGGCCTTGGTGGGTGGGTGGGGGTGGGGGCAACTCTTGCAGAGTTTCTCTGGAGCAGTGTTTATCATCTTCCTTTTCTCACACTGGCCTCATTCCCTCTGGTTCCAGCAAGCAACTAAGACAATTAGACAACTAAGCAATTAGACTTTGGCAGTTATAATTAAAGAGATTTCCAATATTCTGTCAGAAACATTCAAGTTGTAAATAAGATAGTGGTCACCAGGAAATTGACCCATCTATGGCTCTCTGTGTGATTTTATTCTATTAACTGAGTCATCATTCTTTAACTTACTACCCTCAATGTGAGGGGCAAACAGAACTCCAGAACAGCTATCCTTGCCTGGCTGCTCTCCAGCTCACAGGGCGCTTCCTCTCTAGGGGAGAGCAAGGCAGGAGAAATTGACAGGAGGGTAGCAGAGAGTCCAGGGAACAAAAACTCTTACCAAAAACCTTGACCGTGGTGGAGCTCCTCAAGATTTTGCCAGGCCTGACCACAATGTGGCAAGAGAACTTCCGGTGGTCGTCGTGGATTTGGACTGGAGAGAGGTGGAGTCCATGGTCTGTACCTAGCCTGACTCTGTCTTTAAATAACGTGGAATTGCTGATGGGGTGATCTTGGGTGATAAGTGTTTCCTGAGTACCATTATCCTCCTGGTAAGAAAAATAGTTACCAGTTATTGAGCCCTCAACTGTCCCACAGGTTACAGGACTAGGTGTTCCACATGAATTAATTCATTTATGTCTTGTAAAAATAGAGATGACAAATGAAGAATTGAAATTAAGAGATACTTAAAATGTCACTAGAGCAAGTATCATTACATTTGACTTTCAATTAAAAACTACTGTCACTCTCTTCCAACATGAATGAAATCTGCTGCTCTTCTGGCTAGAACTTCCCCTACATAACCTTCCATAAGCTGCATATCCGGGGTGGGATTTGGGCGGTGCAGCACTGGGGGCTAATGGCAGATTGTAATTCTCATTTCAAGTTCTGAAATCTTAATGCTAAGATGTGTTGAGGAGGCTGTATCTGTTTCGCTATTAAATCTTCTCCTGAACTGGATGATTATGGTCGTCCTTTCTTCCCAGCATTCCTTTAGAAAAGGTCTTATTTTAGCTCATTTTACCTCAGAGTCAGGACTAGTCTGAGGTAAAGAGGCTCCTAGGGCCCATATTTAAGGAGGTTTCATTCTCAGGATCTTGTAAGTATAGGGTTGGCACCTGAGAGTGAGTGCCTCCTTGAATTTTGCGCCCTAGACACCTCCTTACCTCAGCCTAGTCATAGTCCTTGCTCCTCTGCCCCTATTTCTGTGTGTGTGCTGCCTTCAAAGGGGACACATGAGGCGTGGGCTGTAAATGTTCACCTGAATTCTGGAGATCAGAGTTTACTTGGCTCCTCTAGTCCGTATAAATGGCCCAGTGTTGATCAATGTCAGTAAATCTGCTGACTAAGGGCCCAGTTAGGAGGGGCATCTTGAAGGGCACGAGGGTAGAGGAAGAGTTATGCCCTTACACCCTTCAGTATAGCTGAATATTCTCAGCTGAGTTGCTTTGAAAATATTCTGATGCACAAACTTCTTCTCTGGAGATTCTAACTCAGTTATTCGGGGGTGAAACTTGGGCTGGGTCTTTTTTTTTTTTAAAGGTCCTTGGGGGAGCCAGGGCTGAGAACCACTGGTCTGACTCTAAACAACAGATGAATCACTATGCGCAGGGGTCAGAGGAAATGGAGGGAACTGAAAAGGAGAAGGGTGATCAGTAATGCATTCAATGAGGAAGAAGTCACGAAACAATACAAACGAAGATCTGTGATTTGGAGTCTCTGGTTTAAAAAATGAGACAGATTCAGAGTGGAAGAAATGGAAGCCAGGTGAGGGAGAGAATTCAAGTACGGGCAGAGAGCAGAAACAGTGGAAACACTAAGGCAGACTTCTTAAATAGTTTATATAGATGTTTCCAGAATATGCTTAGTAGAAACTCTTATGTATGACACAGTTCTTTAGGTGAGTATGGTTGGGACTCGTATCAGCCTTACATACAGGTTACAGATGGTACTGCCTGCAGAGAATCATCCTCTGCTTAAGACTCACTCCTGCGGCAACGCACATACCTTCACACACACGTAAAGAAGGCCCTAAGAGTCTGGCTGCTGTCTTCCTAATGAGGAAGGGTACCGAAAATGAAAGGGAGAGAGCTTATATTCTGGAGACAGGGGTCCCAAAAGGAACCCTAAGTATTGGATGTTGACAGCAGAAGAAAGTAAGGGAAGGCATCACGCAGCATCTGCTGGTCGGGAGGCCGATAATTAAGGCTGCAGGCTCCCCCTGCAGGTCCTTCAGCAAACAAACCAAGCTGAGTTTCACAGCCCTTGCTTTACGCACAGGGACAGATTTTGTGATGATTTTGGAGTTCAAAATGCTTCTTGGTCATTTAGTCAATGACTCGTCAATTGGAATATTTCCATCTGTCACCTCTTTGTGGGAAGAAGGGCAGTCAGAGGCTGAGGCTGGATTCTGGCGAGAGAAACTGCTTTTTCCTTTATTGTGTAGCTGAGTGTGACTGGCCAGAGCTGTTTAATTGACGGAGGAAAGATATACCCGAAAAAAACAATTTATGCGAAGTTTTGCTTTTCTTTTCTTTTCTGAGCGATTAACTGTTATAGAGGAGGGGTTTATTCCTTCCTTGGGAAAGGTGGTTTCAGTTGCAAAGTGTGTCCTGTAACCAGCAACATCAGGAGAGCCTAAGAGATTCTAGAGTCCCCAGTTATGAAGGGGCCAAGGCAAGAACCTGCATGTGAGTGGCTGCCTACGGAGCAAATGGGAGAAGGAGAGGTGGAAAAAACCAGTGCAAACAACGAAATGTCTAGAGCTGGAAGAGGGAGAAAGAATGCTAATATAATGCTGTGACCACTACTAAAATTTTATATTTTTATTAGCTTAAATTAAATTAGCACCTACTATATCTTAGGCACTATGTGAACTTCTTTCAAGTCTTATCTTATTTACCGCTTTGGACAATCTGGAATAAACTGAGGTTAAGTAACTTGCTCAAAGGTCACACAACGTAAGAAGGTACGTAAGTCACAGCATCAAAAACCAGGGCTGCCCAGGACCAGGGATAACAGGGATAGCAAGGGACATAGGCTACAGAGACAACACATGCTAATAAAAACCAAACCATCACAAGACAAATAAAAAAAACTTTCTGGAGTATCTAGAATGAAAAATATAAAAGAAATTCCAGGAAGCCAGAGGCCTTTATATAAGTTATAGATTACAGAGGTGTGGGCAATATGCTGACTGAAGACACCTTGGTGATAGGGGTCCCAGAGTGTACTTCAACTCCTACCAGATAATGATGCTCTTAGGTAACTTGTCTGTAGGAAACAGACTGGTAGGGGGTCTTATACAGAGCCTTTATTCTTGCCTGTTTTTCTTTTCTTGTTCTTAAAGCAAAATTTTTGACAAATTTTTTTTAATATTAATAAATATTTCTAAAACTTCATGGGATTCTCAACCTGGTGGACCCTTACGATTTAAAGGGGAATATAGACTGAACTAGCTAATGTGTATGATACACCTACACTGACACTCAGTAGATGTTCAATTAATACAAAGGCTTTGTCCTCCAGCCTCACTGATGATCACCCAGCTAATTCATGAGCATGTATTCACGATCTGCCTTATTAAATTGAAGAATTATGGAGAGTCATAAAACTAACCACTTAGAGATTAATTTTTAACACATGCTGGGTACAGGTACTATGCTGAGTTATTTAGTTGCATTACCTTATTCACACCTCACAACACCATGAGGTCATACTATAATGATCTCCTTTTATAGGTGAGGCAGCTAAAATTTAGATTAGGCAACATATCCAAGGTCACACTGAATTCTGAGACAAAAGGAGAAATGTGTGCCCCTATGTGCACTTATCAAAATATCCTCCTATATTTTCACCAGGTGGAAAAAGTTAATAAAAACTCTACAATTAAAAAATCTTTTAAAAAGGAATGCATAAAGGTGTGCATTGCTCCATCTGTTCTACTCTGTCAACCCTCACGCATGCACCCACGGGGATCACGATGCCAGGAAGGCCCAGGAACCACAGGCTGATTGGAAAATGCTGTTCCTTGAACAGCATGGCAGGGTCTCAAAAAACCACAACCTGACTTTATTTAAAATTTTGATATTTTGCTCATAATGGATTTTCCCTAAATGTTGATTTTTAAAAAACATTTTATTAAAATTTGTATCTTGATTACTGATTTTTTTGGCACTCTCTTAAATTTTGTACCCAAGGCGAGGGCCTTACCCACCTCACCCTAATCCCAGCTCTTAGGTCACACAGCCAGTAAATGGTAGACCCAGCACTTGAAAACAACAGTTTTCCTCCAAAAGTCATGCTGTTGATGACTTTGCTATCTACAGCCTCACAAAAGCAGTAGAATGAACAGACCTTGTCTTTTCTGCTTATAGTCTATCTGAGGAGAAGAACAAATTCACAAGAAAAACAAATTACAAAATCAGGACCCAGAGAAGAGAAATAAATGCATAAGTAAGTCATGTACAGGATTTGCATAAAATAATCAGCATGGTGAGGGCTGGGTAGGGTCATATTGAATAATGGAATACTGCTGTATGTCCTTTTATCACTTGACAGACCCTAAAATAGTTTGCAGAGCCTTTCCTACTTTTGTATTAGAATCAGAATTTTCCATCCAGGAAAGGGACCTTGGTACTGTTTGATTTAATGGCTTTATCTTGTCTCTGAGGTCCGTGCCAGGGTTGGCTGTGTTGACCATAGCACATGGCAGGTGTTGAGTGTATGGAGCTCATTCAATAAATTCTGCTAACTGTATTGATTGCTACTTCTTTATCTCCAAACTGCTTCCTGTCTTCACGTTTCCTCCATTTAGTCTCCATCCAGTCGGTGCTGTCAAGGCAGCTGCTTGCAAAGCTCCCCATGGCCACTTGACAGAGCACCGGACAATATTTTTCCAATCATCACAATTGGTTGTCAACACTTTGTAGGTTGGCCAGCACTTCATTTTTGATTATGGTGAAGACAATTAGGGTCAGTTGCCATCCGGGAGAAGGTGACAGTTTTGTATTCTACTAGCTAGGCTTCCCATAGGCGTGGGAAACCAACATTATTTATAGTACCATTTTGCCTTTTGTTTAAATACAAAACATCACCAATATTAAAGAAGAGTATAATGAAAAGATACATTTATAAATAAAAGTTTAAAGAAATAGAAGCATCTAGGTTTTAGTTATGTGCCTTTATCACTAATATTGAACTATTTGAATCTGAAATATTCCTCTCCTTCTTTTCACGATTTTAAAGAGAAAAATCATGGGTTTCTCTTTATCCACCAACTTTGGGAACAAATATTCCCTCAACATCTCCCCCTGCCCCCACTGCCAACTTGTACTCATGAGTACCAGGGTCTTGGTGTAGTCCATGTCTGTCGCTTTCTGGCCCACTGTTCTTTAATTATCCAGCTCTAACATAACCTAAGAAGCTTTTCCAGGTCCATCTAGTCAGAATCAAACTATTTTACCTCTATGCTGCCATTTTTCACATTTTTATTAAAGTTGTGTTTCTTGGTAGGAAATATGTCCAATATACTTTTGTACCCCTGCAGGACCTAGCACTCAAAATAGATTCATGTATGTTTATTGGATCAAATTGCAATTTATACTGTGGGAAATCAGGATGATAATTTGGAATGAAAACAGAATACTGGAGTGTATTTAGAAGCTCCTATAGTAAGCCTGCAGAATTTCCCTGATGACTGTATGCTTGTGCCCCAGGACACAAATTGGGAAAAATTTCATTTGTCCTTCGTCTATTGCATCCCACACACACTCGATACATCTTATACATCACCCCACCATTCATATAGACCCTCAGTGTCCACTGCAGGGTTACCCCTTTATGTTTATTTATCACCTCTCATGCTGGGTCAATGTTGGATACAATGTGTATTTGCACCTGGTGCCTGTCTACCTCAGTGTAGTCACAATCCTGGAATGAAACTTCCCCCAATGCAAAGGATCCACTCCATGAACACATTTAACAGCCTTGGCATGGGATCAGGTACACATAGCAAATAATTTTTTTTTAATAATAACTGAGTATCCCAATAATAACCTTTCCTATGAAGGTCATAACTGAATTAATTAAATTTTATAAAATTCCACATATAAGAAGACATGACTTTTCCAGGCTGTTTTCCAGTGACCTCAATTAGAATCATTTTAGTTTGTTAAATTGTTTCCAGGGTTCAACGCAGCACTTGCAGTGGGAGCACGTTGCAGCTTCCTGGAGTTTCTTAGTTTGGTACAACAGGTTTCTACCCTCCTGAGCTCATCTTCACCATCTCTACTTTTTAACCTTTTTCTAAAAGCCACATTATATCGTGTTCATAAGAACAACTGGTGTAACGTTATGAGTTTTATTGCTAGTTTAACAAGAGATTGCAGAACTAAAAAATGGATTGGAGGGGATATTTATGTCCTCTTCAGACCTATAACAGTCAGGACCTGAAGAGCTGCAGTTTATTCCCCAATATGGGGACACTGGATGATTTCATATCAGACTTGCTGAATCCCACAGCCACGGACAGTGTGGAGCACGGATGTAAATCAGAGAAGCAAATAGATTTTGACATTTTAAAAGGGAATTCACAGTAGGTATTTAATCAGCACATTTGCCAATACAATGTTGCCTTTGAAGAGAAGTTTCTTTCAGAAAGATTCCTCAAGTTGTCCCTATCATGATGCATCCTTTAAAGTGACAGCATGGCTTGAGGTTCTAGAAGAAGTTTAGGACTCTCTCACCCTGTGACCTGAGGTGCACTTTCTCTGTCCCTCATTTATCCTAAAGGTCCTGCCAGGATCTAAAGATAATGTCTATACAGCCTTCTTAGTTTCTTTGAAGAAAACTACTAGATAAAGGATGCCTTATCAGTTATCTAGTCGTTAATACTTAGTGAGCTGCTGCTCATTAACCAGCCAGCCATCAAACAGCCAGCATGAATTTAGTGACTATCAATTTAATATGCAGACAATGAATGGGATATGGGGGAATGGCACAAAGAGAAACAGATCCATTTAATTATTTATTAATTATTTATTGAGTGTCTATGTTCTAGGCACTATACTGGATGCCAGGGATTTTTGAAGTGAGTGATGTAGCTTTTTGCTCTGGAGAAACTCAGAGTCACACAAAAGACACAGGCTGACTGAAGGCTTTACATTTGCTTAGAAAAACAGATCACACACTCTTGAGATAAGAACACTCCAGATCAATTTACTAGCCAGCAAAAATCTCTGTAGTAAAGCTTTATTAAACTTATTAAATTTTATTATTATTTATTCTTATTAAACTTTATTATTCCCCTTGATAGTGAATTCGTGATCATTAGGATGGAGACTTTTTGCCTATTGGTAGAAAATATTAGTAACATAAGCAAGGTATAGAGTGCATGCCCATCACTGTAGAGTTTGGTTTAGGAGGTTTCTGCCCCCTTGAGATCATCTCTACTTTTTAACCTTTTTCTAAGAACCTCATTGTATCATGTTTGTTATGGAAAATTGACTTATACTAATGATAGGCACAATGTCCGGGAAGCCTTACATTTTGGAAACCAAACCCCATAAAGGGAAAGAAGTATTTTCTGACAGATGACAAAGAGACATCGTAGATTTTAGAACAGTTTGAGACAGTTATTTTAGAACATTTTTTTTCTTCTTATTCTACCGACTATCCAAAAAATATCTAGATAGTGAAAAAGTATCAGTAGTTTGTATTTTTAGGCCTACTTGCAGGCCAGTTATTTTGGATTTGGCACATCTCCAGAGAAATTTTTTTAAATGAAGTGTCTAGTTTCCAAAACAGTCCACAAAAATCTAGATAACTTGTAATATGAATGATAAATCATGTGAATACAGTATTTTGCAAACTGTATCAGTTGTTACATTCATGGAGATCTACGAGTCCTATAAGAATTTTTAAATTTTGTGTTTTTATTGTTATGGCAATCTAAAAATTAATGCAATCATATTTTGAATCATCTAAATAAACACCGTCTTACGTGATTCTCAAAATTGTGTTTATGGTTATCTTTATAACTGTGTCAGTCTTGCGTTATCGGATTTAATAGTATTAGAGGTCTATTATATACATTGGTTAATAGCTGGCTGTCATTTGGTTGGCTTGCCTTGGAAAAGTTCCCATAAAAATTCAGATTCTTGGCTTTTATTTTTTTAAGTCAGAAAACATGGTAAGTCTAGACCTGCAGCTCCCTGTGGCAATAATAGGGCTGAGCAGTGGCTGTCTCTTACAGAGGTCCTGCTTCTCTTATGTACATTTTCTATCCATATTTTATAAGCATTAGAGTTTGTGTTTCCCCATCTAAAGCAATGTTATCTATTTCCCAGGATGCAGTAGTATAGATTCTGGGAAAAGAAGGTCTATCCCTCTGCATATGTTGTTGGTAAAGCACATATTTGTGAGTAGGGACTTCTGCTGGATGTGGCTCTTCTCCAGGGCACCTTCACACTCTTTCCTCTCTGTAATCATGGTTTGGTATGTAGCACAAAATAGAAACTAACCTTTAGGAACTAATTTCTAAATTACTGCATTCATGGACCTGGACCCTTGCTGAGTTAGATGGAATGCGAATGCTCCCCTGCTTTCTCTCCGGCCATTCCCCAACCTTCCACACAATGCCCCTCTCTCATCCAGTATGTTTCCTTCCCTATTTTAATTTGTTATTCACCTTTACTTAATCAATATTTAAAGATCATTGCAGTTATTCACTGAAAAGGGCAACACTTACCACCAACCATGCAAAGGTGAACTCAGACGAGATTTCCGAGGAGATATTTTGAAAGCATGGTATTTCTAGAGTCCGATTTATCTCTATTTCCATTGTATGGTTGCTTCTCCATTCATCCTGAGCAACTGTAACAAAACATAAGGTGGAAAAGACATGCATCTGCGATTGGTTTGTGAAGTGCTTTTTATCAAAGAAAGGAGAATAATTTTAGTACAGAGACTCATCTCTCCTCAGCTGCACCTATGAAGGAAAAAGGAAAAACCCCACTAGAGTCCTCATTGTATAAATGGCAAAACGGAGCCATTGAGAAGTACCGAGTTGCTTATCATTGAAAAATTACAGGGAAACCACGCTAAGAGAATCCAGCTCACAATTTGGCATGTTCCTCTGCTTTAACTCAAAATTGACACTTCAGTCTTCAGATCATGTTTCTTTGCTCATATAGAATATGTAACTTTATAACCTAGCCTCTAATTGTCTTTTGTAAAATTTTAGTAGACAGTTTTTTTTTTAAAGAGCAGTTTAGGTTCACAGTAAAATTAAGTGGAAAGTACAGAGGGCCCATATACCTCCCGTCCCCATGCGTGCATGACCTCCCCCACTATTAGGATCCCAGAGCACAGTGGTACATTTGTTACAATTGATGGACCTACATTGACACATCATTATCACCAATGAGAGTTCACATCAGGGTTTACGTTAGAGTTCACTCCTGGTGCTGTGCATTCTATGGGTTTGGACAAATGTATAATGACATGTGTCCACCATTGTGGTGTCATACAGAATAATTTCATTACCCTAAAAATCCTCTGTTCTTCACCTATTCATCCCTCCCTCCCACCAACCTTCTGACAACCTCTGATCTTTTTACTGTCTTCATATCTAGTTGTCTTTACAGAGCTTATAAACATTCCTCCAAAGAAGGAATGATATATAAAAATATATGAGAAAACTCTGAGGAAGCATCATTAATGAATTATTTTCTTTTTTTTGTGTGTGAGGAAGATCAGTCCTGAGCTAACATCCATGCTAAGCCTCCTCTTTTTGCTGAGGAAGACTGGCCCTGAGCTAACATCTATTGCCAATCCTCCTCCTTTTTTTTCCCAAAGCCCCAGTAGATAGTTGTATGTCATAGTTGCACATCCTTCTAGTTGCTGTATGTGGGACGCGGCCTCAGTATGGCCAGAGAAGAGGTGCATCGGCGCGTGCCCAAGATCTGAACTCGGGCCACCAGTAGCAGAGCGCGCGCACTTAACCGCTAAGCCATGGGGCCGGCCTGAATTACTTTCATTTTTAAGGTGATATGAGATAAATATCTGTTTTATAGTCTTTTTTTGGGGGGGGGGAAGTTATATACACATACATATCCATTTGTGACTAGACTACAATAACATCAAAGAACAATTTATAAATGAAAACAATCCTATCATCCTAATATCCTGAAAATCTTTTTTCTTTTTTTCTATACCTATACAAATTTTGTTTATATGCATGTGTTTTCTCATACTTTGTAATCCTATTAACCAACAAACGTTACCTATATTTTTACTTAAAAATGTGTTGTGTGATTCTTAAACTATTTGTGGTTGAAATTTTTAGAGGCTTTGTGCCATTCCCTCAGATACACCCATCATCATTTGTTTAGTCATTTCCAACTCGTGAATCATTATGCTCTTTCGGTTTGAGTTTTCACTTTATTTGCGAATAAACTATTGCAATCTCTATAGCAAGGATCATCCTTATACTAATAGCCTTCTTCTGACCATTCAGCTACTTAAGATGAAGTCCCAAATGTATGATTAATGAATCATGGGGTATAAACATTCTCATTATTATCAACAGTATAGTTTTTTTTAAAAAGTGGAATATTTCTCACTTTGAGAGTGTTATATCTAGCCTTTAGAATTTTGCTATATTTCAATATCTCATCAGTGTCAGCTATCCTCTTTACTGGTAACTCTTTCCTCCTCCATCCCTTAATTGAAACCATGACTTTTCATTAGGGGGCATCTTCCCTGCCACATTCTCAAATAGTGCTTGTTTATTTTCTCGTATCCTGATTTCCTCAAGACCAGGAAGAGGGATAGGTGCCTTCCTTGCTCTCTGTTGCTGCTTCTAATTATTACTTCAATCCTGTAATTAAAAAAAAAAAAAGTCCTGCCCTTTATGGTTACAGGCATTTAACTATAATAGTACTTCCGAATGGGGTTATTTGTGTACCACCATCAAAATTTTTTGCCATATTTGCATACCACCATTACTACTATTAAATTTTATTCTTGGAATTATTGTAATTGTTTTACTTACATAAATTTATTTTAAGCAGAGACTGATCTAGGCACTAATATTTGTGAGGTCCACGAAATCCACTTGATATATTAATTATATTTTAATATACGGTACCCAAATACATAAACATTAAATTTTTATAAAGTTTGTCCAGATTCTGAGAAGTTGGCAGCACAAATGGTATAACTTTTTGAATATCCCTGAAACTCCCTATAAAGACAGAGTAACTAGAATAGTAAAACTACTACTAGTAGTAGAGAGGCGCTATTACAGGAGCACTGAGTAACAATATATCCACATTAACAGGTGGGGACAAACCCTCAGGCCGCTGTGGTATCAGCAACTGTGCAGAAAGAAACAGGGAAATTGACTGGGCTTCTGATGGCCCTTAGAACTGGAGAAATTCCCCCCCAAAACAACAGGTGATCGCTGGAAAGATACGCAGACTAATCTGAGAACAGCAGCAGAAGTGAAGAAAGGCGTTTGAGGCACCAAATTACCAGTGCCTTCAAGGGAAACAAGAAAAGGCTTGTTGTTGCTGAACCGGAGGAGACTTTTTCGACGTATCCCATACTGAGAAGAAACTTCAGGGAGTAGAATCCAAATGAAGCAGGACAGATCCAATAGGAGAAAGCAAAGAAGCAATTTAGATAAAAGGGAAGGATAGGAGGAAAGGAAGTACATCTCAGAAAGTACAATGGCGTATTATTAATCTCGAAAATAACAGAAGACTCGAAAATAACACTGAAGACTCTAGAAAAGCTAGCCTGGCCCACTCTTCCATGATAAAAATAAAAGTGCATTTAACTTAAACATGAGCAAAAGAAAAGGAATGGGGTAGAATCACATATAAAGATACAATAGGAGGGGCCAGCCTGTTGGGGTAGTGGTTAAGTTCCTGCACTCTGCTTCGGCAGCCTGGGGTTCACAGGTTTGGATCGTGGGCGCAGACTTATGCACCACTCATTAAGTCATGCTGTGGCAGCATCCCATATACAAAATAGAGGAAAATGGACACAGATGTTAACTCAGTGCTAATCTTCCTCAGCAAAAAGAGGAAGAGTGGCAACAGATGTTAGCTTAGGGCCGATCTTCCTCACCAAAAAAAAAAAAGATACAATAGGAAAAAAAAGAGAATAGAGAACAAGACAACATCCTTACAACAATGACAGCATATTAGAAAGACATGACTACAAAATAAATAAGAACTATATCCTCATAATTCAAAATGAGCTGAAAGAAATAAAGAAAATAAGACAAGCTGTAAAAAATTTTAGAAAGTCTGGTAAATGAATCAATTGGAGAGAAGAAAGCTTACAAAAGATAGGTGACAGAATTCAGGAAAGTGTTGGAAATAATAATTTTTGAAAATCACGCCAGAAATGAAGAGCACACTAGAACAAAAACAAAAACCTATAAACCCAAAAGCTATTGCATTAAGAGAAATGAAAAATAGGATGAGGGAAATTTTAAAATAAGTTAATAAATAACAAAATTTTAAAATAAAAAAAGAGATGAAAGAAATTCAAAGAAAACGATAGGCAAAGAAGATAAAAAATATGTATAACAGAAGACACTGAAGGAAATAAAGCAACAGACAGAAAAAATACTAGAAATTATAATTCAAGTAAAATTTCTTAAAATAAAAAATGAATAGAAAATACATATTAAGAGATAATACTGTAGTAGCAAAATAGAACGGACAACATTTGTATATTCTTATAAAAGTAATGAACAAAGTCAGTGATGGGGAAAGAAAATCGGATTCTTTTCAGCTTTTTGACAGCAATTATGCTAGAAAATAATGTAGTAACATATTTAATGTACTCAAGGAAAGAAAATGTGAACTAAGGATTTTATAGTCAGCAAAATTAAACTCTTAATATAAAGACTACATAAAACCTGTTAGAATAATGTAAGAACTCAGGGAACATTTCTCCCACGTGCACTTCCTGAAGATTCTCCAAAAGAATACACTTCAGACTGGAAGGCATTCACATAAAGACTGGTGGTGGTGAGTGTTGAATATATATTTACATTTATCACTAAGAATGATTTAATTGTTATAAGGAATAGAGTAGTAATTAATATATGTTTTTCAATAAAGATACAATAGGTATCAAAAATGGGGAGGGCAATTGAAGGACTTTTGGCTATGGGGCATGAAGAGGTCAGTAGGAAAAAAACACATATAAAGCAGAGAAAATGTGTTAAAAACAACTGTTTCAGGGCCCTGGAAATTGACCAAAGGCGAGCATTTAGTTGAGAAGCATTTCTTCCTGATAAACCACTGGAGCTTCAGTGAGAAGCAGCAGAATCTATAGACTTCTTGCCTAGGGACCTTCCATTCCCTTCTCTAGCTTGGTTGGTGAGAAATGTAGTTTTACCATCTTGGAGCTGGCTGCAAAAACCAGCAGCTTTTCTTCCAGGAGAGGCAGACGTACATTAGCTCTGAGGGTGGAAATCCTACGCTTTGTCAGCTAGCAGGGACAAACTTGAAAGAATCAAATAAGGGAAAACTGCAGGTTGGTTAGCTTGGGTTTGCAGTCCTACTTGGGGTGAGTGGCAGACCATGTAGACATTTAACATGAAGATGTTGGAAATCAGAGAGCCATAAAAAAGCAGAGAGTTGTTGTCTACACATCCTGGGCTGACTGGGAAATTACACACATGAGTTGGGGGACATCTGAGAAAACCTGGTGAAAAAGAAAAGCTAGGGGAGTCTGGCTGCAACTTTGAATGCACTCCTTAACACACACACACACACACACACACACACATCTGTGTGTGGAGAGTGGAAGCCTAACGGGCTTGAGGCATTTGAGCACAACTTGTG